ATAGAAAGCAAACCCAATCGATAAAGGTCGAATCTTTACACATTGACTCACCTTGAAACCCGAGAAAACTCACAAAATCCGATAACTCATTTAATTACAAGTTCAACCATACTAGTTTCACTCAAATCCGACTCCGAATCGATGTTCAAAACTCAAAAATTTACTTTAGAAACTTTGGACAAACTCCCCAATTTTCTCTTTAAAATTCACAATCCAATTACCAAAAATGAAGATAGATTCACGAAATATAACCAAAACCGAGTAGAGAACAGTTACTTCAATCCATATGGTAAAAATTGCCCAAATCCGAGCTCCCCAACTCAAAATATGACCAAATGAACAAGAACAAACCCTCAATATTAAATATTTTTGCCCAGTTGTTCTGCCTCGTTTTATGTGCCAAACTATCCCAATACTCACTTTTGATACCTCTAATGGATTTCTTGTAAAATCTCAGTCAAGTTAGACTTTTGAATCACCTAGTTTGGCCTTAAAATGAGGGAGATATGATATTTTGAAGTTTTAAATGAAGTCTGAAAATTTAAGGGATAAAAATGACATTTTTCGTAATTATTTTACACCAGAAAATCAGCAACGAAAGAATTTTCGTTTTAGCACCCAAAACTCATTCGGAACCTTCTGAACACAAACCATATATGCATTTCAATCATAAAACATGCTACAAACTTGATCGCGGACTCAAAAATCCAAAATAGATCATCTTGACCCGATATTGATCATGGTCAAACTCCAAATCCTTAATTTAACTAGTTTCTCAACTAATGATCCAAAACACACCCGAGCCCCTCGGGACCTCATTCAATCATACCAACAACAACAACAACATACCAGTATAATTCCACAAGTGGGGTCTGGAGAGGGTAATGTGTACCCAGACCTTACCCCTACCTGGAAGGTAGAGAGGCTGTTTTCGATAGACCCTCGGCTCAAGAGAAGGTGGAAGAAGAAGAAGAAGAAGAAGAAGAAGAGGAAGAGGAGGAGGAAGAGGAGGAGGATGAGGGGAGAAAAACAGACGAAGGAGACAAAAGACGATAAGGAAAAAAGGAGAAAAAGTAGCATCATATAGTAACAATCAGGGAGCAACAATTTACAGTAAAAAGGAGAAAGAGTAGCATCAAATAATAATAATCAGGGAGCAACAATTTTCAGTAGAAATTTAAGTACCAGATATCATAACAAACTAAAAGGAAGTAACTTTCAACCAACAACAAGAATATTACTAGTACTATGATACGAACTTATTCGAAGTTTCAAATCATATCAAACAATATAAACCACGAATCGTACCTCAAATGAAACTTAATGAACTTTTGAACTTTCAACTTCCAAAACTCGTGCCGAACCATATCAAATAAACTCGGAATGACTTCAAATTTTGCACACAAGTTTCAAATGACATAACGAAGCTATTCCAACTCTCGAAACCAAAATCTGAACCTGATATCACTAAAGTCAACTTCCAATCAAACTTATGAATATTCTAAAACTCTAAATTCCCAACTTTCGTCGATTAATGCTAGAACCTTCAAGAAACATCCAAATGCAAATCTGGACATACGCCCAAGTCCAAAATCACCATCTGAAACTAACCAAACCATCAAAACTCCGATTCGGGGTCAAATATTCAAAAGTCAAACTTGGTCAACTCTTCCAACTTAAAGCTTTCTAGTTGATAATTATTCTTCTAAATCAACTCCAAATCACCTGAAAACCAAAATCGACGATTCACACAAGCCATAATACATCATATGAAGTTAATCAAGGCTTCAAACAGCTGAACGGAATGCTAATGCTCAAAATAATCAGTTGGGTCATTACACCTTAGCACTTCCTTTTTGTATTACAACAAGCTAAAGATTGTGTAATAGACAATGTGTCTAGTAATAAACTAGCTACTTGGTTGCGTAATAGATACTGGGTTCATCAATAAACTAGCTACTTAGTTACGTAACAATCAAAGCCACGTCTAATAACTTAATCACATATCACATTACATCAGTAGAACATTACATTATCTAAAAGACTTCCAACAAAACAAACTTCCAATAATTAAACTATTCCTACCAACAACAAACCAATATTCCTTCTCACTTCATCGTCCAAGCTGCCACGAATCCGACAACGACGCACAAGAGCATAACCCACTTATTCAGCCTCATTTCATTCATCTTAACCATCCCTCCAACATAATCATTTACAGGATATTGATTGCCTCCAAATAAATCCCTCCATCATCATCATCTTCCTCATAAACAACCTTTGCTAATATATTTTCAAGTTCAGCCTTCTTCATTTGCATAATAATTTTTTCATGCTTAAGAGTGTTCTTTTCACACTTCAAACTACTGATAATGTCAACAATTCTTGGATTTAGCAGATCATCGTCCCATTCCCAAAATTGACATCTTGTACCCTATCGAATGAAATGGAAAAAATAATTTATCAATAAAATTGAATCCCCAAAATTAAAAAGAGGCAAATTTGTGAAATTATCTTACCTTAGGTTTCGAACATTTTGAGAATCGCCTACTAGCATTCACTGGAGTTATAGCTGTGAATTGGCTGGCAGCCATGCCGTAGTGACAATTCTTTCTTGACTCAAATGACGCATTCAACACTTAGCTCATTTTCTTTAATTGTTTGAGTACGTTTTCGGAAGTAAAAATTGAGGTTGAAATGTGATCAATTTTGTTTTGAGATGTCCAGTCAAATGGATAATTTTAAATAGGTCAAATGGATAATTTTAAATGGGTCGAAAAAATATTTGGCTATGGATAGGCCACATGGACATATTTTAATTCCTGAACAGCACGAGCTATCTTCCATCAACCACTAGTCGCTGATAAACCCCTTTAATGGTCTATAAACCTTGAACCCTAACCCTGAAAGTTCAAAATAAATCAATAGACTTCTTTAATGGACGAGTGTCAACTTTAGGTTGCGTCCTCAATTCTTACTGTGGTCGAGGATAAACTAATGGCCGAAAATTTACTAACATAAGAATTATACCATGTTTGACCTTAGTTTTTTTGATTTTATAGCATTTAAACATCTTATTAATGATATGGAACATTTAAAGTTATTATACTTGGTGGTGTATTTCATACTATTAAGAGTTAGTCACTCTAGAACATATAACAACACAAGAAGCAAGGCCTCTAAGTATAAGAGTGTTGTCTAGTGAAGTGTTGTCAACAAGTAATACCTCTAAGTAGATGGCTGTTGTATATTGAATATTGGGCTGTAATATCGACATGTGTTGATATTAAGTAATGTTTTGATCGATTATAATGAATAATTAGTCTTCAAATTGCTTACATTACCTTAACATTATTTTGTAATAATGGTCAATGGCTATATAATGAAAGTTGTGTTAATCAATTATCAGCTTAGGTTAATACCGATATAACGGATACGTTATACTAATCCATTTTATCCAATTCAAAGTTTGCAATTTGATGAATTAGTACAACTTTAAGTTATTCACAAATAATTGTCATTTTTGAATTAATGTAATTGAATTAATACTTTACACTAACGAATAACTAATAATCGATGATCTATCCCTATGTCTGTCCAATTTATAATTGATATACAGTTCTTAATTCTTTACAATGGAATTCTATTAGTTTACATTTACAATAGAATTATAGACCACCAATGGGGTAGATTATATACTGTAGGTTTATTCAACAATTCATGTGAAATTCTTTTCAATTCAATGGCGAAAAATTCAAATATTTGGAAGACTGCATATCAATTCGAAAAATGGTAATTAGGCAATATTATAAAATATTATATTGTTTAAAAATAATAAATTCAGCACTTGCTGCAAAGAAACTCAACATAGGCGAGAACAAGTGTAATATTACAAACTACGAGAAAAGATGGTGTTACGAAACTAAATTGGAGTGAGGTGTCTAAGAACCCGTTTGGACGTAAGAAATTTTCCTTTTTTTTTTCCTTTTTTTGCATTCATAAAATTTTCAATTTTCACTTAAAGATTCATTTTAAAATTTTTCGAAAATTTGAAAAACTCTAAAAAGCTATTTTTCAAAATTTTTACTCAGATTACGCACAAAACTTCAAAAACAACCCAAAATTATATTCATGTCCAACACAACACTAATAGTTTTCAAATACCATTTTCACTTGATTTTTTTTTTGAAATTTTACAATTCTTATGTCCAAACGCCCACTAAAATTATTCCTGCTGCAAATTTTGTTAAAAAAAATAACAACAACGACCCAGTGAAATCTCACTAGTGGGGTCTGGGGAGGTAGTGTGTACGCAGACCTTACCCCTACCTCGAAGGGGTAGAGAGGCTGTTTTCGAAAGACCCTCGACTCAAGAGGACCCAAAGACAAAAGGAGATAATATCAGTATCACTACAAAAATCATAAGGAAAATAAGAACAACATGAAATCCAGAAGAAATATGCAACGCAAAAACGTTAGCTAGTAAATAAGCCCGACACTGAAAAGCGAAATAGTAAGACACGACATTGCCACTAGCTATCTTAGACAGAAACCCTACTAGACTAGTCTCACAATAGTACGAAGTAAGGCAAGACTCAACTACCTACTAACCTACAACCCTAATACTCGACCTTCACATCTTCATATCAAGTGTCATGTCCTCGGAAATCTGAAGCCTCGTTATGTCCTGCCTGATCAACTCTCCCCAATTCTTCTTAGGCCGATCTCTAACTCTTCTCGTGCCCTCCACAACCGGCCGCTCACACCTCCTTACCGGGGCATCTACGCTTCTCCTCTGTACATGCCCGAACCATCTGAGCATCGCTTCTCGCATCTTATCATCAATGGGAGCCACATGCACTTTCTCCAAAATATCATCATTCCTAATGCCGGCACATCCACCGCAACATACTCATTTATGGTATTTCAATCTTCTAAAAATTCTTTACAGAAAAGGAAAGGAAAAAGCATATAAAGACGTTACAAGATGCGGCGTACCAAATATACAAAAACAAAAGAAGAACCCATTACATTACTGGAGTTTAGTTCATTTTGCAATCCATTTAGGGCGCGGACTCCATTGTTCACAGCTCAACAGTATAGCACTGCTCACAAGTATCGGGGAAAATGAGGAGGGAAAGAGGTGAATTGATTTACAAGATTTACAGAGCCCTAACTTATGGCCTATCGCCGCTGATTCACCTTCACCTGCGGTGGCGCAAATTCCGCGGCCTCGAACATCCTCTCCGCTGGCGCGAGCGTCTCGGATTCCCCTCTTTCCCTCGTCCCCCTGGCCCTCTCCTCTGGTTCCACGCTGTCTCTCTCGGTCATACTCCTTATCCTTTCATTTTTACTACACTGATTCTTACTCCAATTTATATATAAGAAGAATTAGTGTGTGTATGCATACACATATACACTCAATCTCAGTCACAGCAGAGCTTCAATTGATAATGCATGGATGAATCTGAGAGATAAACTCAGATTCATCAAGCTCACATGGTATCATAGCAGTGTAGGTATATATAGAGTTTAAGTTCTGTGCATTGTCTGTGTAAAAATATTTACACAATCGGGTCATTTGAAATGTAATTGCTTCAAGTAATTGCAGTTAACTTCATTTAATAACATTGATTTATGACCTAGAATAAATGATCAGAAACCTGCTATAACATGTTAAATTACTTTAATGGTGTAAAAAATTCATTACACTGGTAGTGTATATAATATAAATCGTTTTATATAGGCTCTAATTTTTTCCACCATTGTGTATGTACTTGTAATTAATAAAATATGTATCCGTGTCTATTGTGAAGTATGTTGGCCGATTTTTTTCTTTCTCTTTTCATTTTTCCAGCTACTCTGCTCAATTTTTTGTTTCATTTGTTATTGTTGTTGTTTCTTTTTCTTTTTTACTCCCTAATTTAAAATTGTTATTATTGTTTGTTGTAATGTGAAATTAGGTGAAGGAATGTGTGCAATTCCAGTGATTAAATGCTGCATAGAGAGGAGGCCTGATGTAACTGTCTTAATGACGACTACCACCACATCAGCATTGTGAGTCTCTAATTTGAATTCCAAGTTCAAATGTTATTTTATTTTGATCGTTGCAGTTTGTTGCTTTGTTATTTCCTTTCAAATTTATTGCAATATTTTGCACTTATAGAAAATTGGTTTTGTTAGTCTTTTCACCTGACAATGATTTTCTATAATTTAGGGATGTAACGTTCCTTTAGTTTTTTTTTTTCTAAAATAAAATGGAGATATATGAAAAGGATGGTCCTGTGATTTGGGGAGGTTTAGGGAGGTTAAGTTCTTCGATTTATGCAAGTTGTATACCTGGCCCTGTATGGAATAATATGTGTCTCGAGAATCTCAGGAAAAAATATCGAGAAAAATAAACATGAAAAATCTCTGGATTGATGTCAAAAGTTTATGTTTTTTGCTGACCCAAGATTAGAGAACTCTTATGGATAGAAAGACCAAGCAATGTGGGGGATGGACATCTTCTTTAGGGTCTTGTATTTGTTTCTTTTTAAGCATTCAAATATATGGGTTGATCTTAATTGTGGTGCACATTACACGAGATGATTGCTTTTGATTCAATACCGTTTTGGATGCTATCAGTCTGTATTCCAGAGAATAAAAAAAGCTCATGTATTATCATGATGACTTATATATATTGTATTTAAAAGAAAATATATGAAAGCATGCACCTGAAACCAAAAATATTGGAAAATGTAGAAGTACTTGATATAAAAGTTTGGACAAGAGTCAGGAGGTGAAGCTATTACGGGGAGTCAGGTGTTGCACAATAGAACAGCTAAGAGGTGTATCATTAGTCATAACCTGTTTTAACTTGTTTTTCATTCATTGCTGGAAGAGTTTGTAGATGTGAATTCATTCTGTATCTTCTTTCATCACTATAGTTATTGCTGAACAGAAGATGTGTGATCTACAGAGAATATAAGGAGTCTAGGGTTCAAAGGAGAAAAGGAATTTCCCGAGTTCCGTTGTGTTTCAATATTTCCATGACTAATAAATTCAAGGTCTTTTTACTTACTACTAGTGTTGGGATTTTACTCACTTCCTATAGTTTTAACTTTTAATTGTAAGAAACTGCATCATCAGAATGAGAGACATTCTTCCACCTCTTTTTTCATTTTCCATTGAAGAGAAAATTCAGTATGTCTAATCTACTTTTGCTTTCCTACAGTGAGGTAATAAAAAACCAGCTTTGTGTAAAATTGCAGTGTCAGCACACACAATGTTTTCTACTTTCTGTTCTGCTGAAAAATACAATATTAAGTATCTGATTCTTTGCTTTCTTACAGTGAGGTGATAAAGCACCAGCTTCCAAATAATGTCATTTATCAGGTATTTGTTATGCTGTTTCCTTAAGACTGTATTATGCTTGATTTCTTGACATCACTAAGTTGAGTTGTCTGACAAGGCACTGCTATTCCAAATTTTTGAACATTTGCATGCGTAATTTTTTTTTTTGAAGAATCAATTATCATGCTGTGTAGACCACAAGCTCTTCTTCCTCCCGTCATGTTATTTTTATTCACCCTCCACATTTAAATTATCATTTTTTGTGGACCCTAGGATCTTTTCCATTGCTGTGATTTTTTCTCCCTTCCCCTTTCTTCTGAGCCACACTGGAAGAATGACCCTGTTCGTTTGCAACATTCTTATGATGTTCTGGCATTTCTTTTTCTGTACACGTGTTTCTTCTGAATTTCACTCCTGAGATGCTTAGTTCCATGGACAAGACTGAAGAACTTATGGTAGCAAACTATCAATTACATTTTATGTGTCTTTCTTACGTAGGCTAGAAGGTAGAAGGAGTGCCTCTGACATGTCTCTTTTTTTTTTACGCAAATGTACCAGTTTTCTCCCATTGACACTCCTGGTGCCATTGATGCTTTCCTTTGTCATTGGAACCCAAATGCAATCATTTTAATTGAAAGTGAGCTCTGGCCAAACCTCATTATAGGTGCCGCAAAGAAAAGGGTAAATATACATCTTATTCTATGAATGCTGCTGAACTTAGAGATCTGCTATTTTAGTTTCTAGTATCTTGGCTAAGGCTTGTCTTTTATCATCTTTATATTTTCCTGTTATGAGGTAACTGATGTAATGGAAATTTATTTTATTTTTTCATGAGAGGACTATATCATTTAACCTATTTTATTGTTCAGACACCTAGTTTAGTGGGTTAGCATCAATTATTTTTGTTCTTTTTTTTTTCTTTTTTATATTTCACATTCTACTCACTTGTATATTGGTATAACATGTCTTTCTCTACTTTTACACTCCCGTTATGCTACTCAGATTGCACTTGCATTGCTTAATGCTCGAATGTCTGCAAAATCTTATGACAGTTGGTCTCAACCATTTATTATTCCTCTGACATCATTGATGCTCTCTAAATTCTTGTTGATTCTTCCACTGGTACGTCTCGTGTTTTATCGTTGACGTGTTTGTGATCATCTTTTAAAGGCATAATCTTACCTTTAAGCTTCTGCATTTATATTTCTACACAGAGCACTACACAGGCAATTCGTTTTCAACTGCTGCAGTGTCCACCATTCATCATAAATTTTTGTGGCGACCTAAAGTATGGTATGGCCAAAACTAAAAATACCTGATCTTATTATCTTGCATGTACATTGGAGCTACTAGCACTTCATAATAAACTCTTTTTTTGTATATCCTTTAGTTTACTGTGATTATTTGTTTCTTCTTAGTGGCTTAGGAATACACGTATGGCTTCTTTCTTTTTCAGGTTCAGGAATATTTGTCACATCTACCGCTGCTTACCAGAGAGCAGGCGTTGTACCCTACTTCTCACTTCCTTTTTTTCCTGATTTAGCTGTAGGAAACATTGAGACTGCTGAAGGGGATCAGAGAGCTCTGGAAGAGTTGCAGGTACAGCTTATGAACAGAAAGGTTTGGATGGCATCTTCCATTCATAAGGGTGAAGAAAAAGGTAAATTTCTTGATGTATAATATTTTCCATGTATTAGAGACAAGATGAAGGAACAAAAAGAATCTTGAGGCAAAGGGAGTTGGATGAGAGAGTCTTAAAGCCCCATTATCCTATGCTGTTATACCATGGTAGTAGTCTGAGATTGAGTTCATCTAGGCACGTGTGTGAACAATATGTGTTGTGGTTTAGTCCCTTACCTTCAATTTTCTCTAAGGTGTTTTGGATAGGTTAAGTGGGGAAAGGTGGAGGTAGAGGAACTAGGCATGGGCTGGGCCCTCAAACTCATCACTCATGTCTTCATGAGTCTACGACAGAGTAAAGAGAAAACTCACGGAGCATTAGTGATTGGAAGAAAAATGATTACTGGTAGATGGTTTATTTTGATTGGGGGCCAGGAACTCAGATGTATGTATGGATATCGATACCTACCCAGTTGATTGTTTCTGTGCCAAGTCTGTTGTCATGCATTTACGGATGAAGTCAAAAATTCCTAGTGGTTCAGATTGACCTTGATTTCCCGCTTCAGCTAACAAAGTTTAAGGTGATCTGCTCTCTGTTTCTTCTTGAATCTAACTTAAGAATGTTGTTCTGCTTCTAACTTATCTATAAAAAAGGAAGAGAATTCTGTTCTACTTCTCTATCACTTCTCTAAAAAGATACATGTGAGGATGTTCTCTTTTATGGTTATCAAGTGTTTGTATTATTGGAAAGGGAAAGGGAAAGGGAAGGAAGTTTTTCCCAATCTGAGAGGAGTAAATTTCTGCTCTTTGGATGTAGCAGAAAAGAAGTGAATTGAGTCTACTTCATGGTCTAATGACCTTGAATATGACTGTAAGTTACTTTGTGCTGCTGAACGAAATTATGACAAAATTGATATGCAGTCATGTTGGATGTACACAAAGAACTAAAGCAAATACATCTGGATATCATTACCATCATTGTGCCTCGGCATCCTCAGCATGGAGAACTAATTGCTTTGGTATGATTACTGTGCATTAGCCTATTATAAATGTTTTTATTTGTGTTGATGATCCATCTATGTCCTCTTCAAATTACTCTAGTATTTTTCTCTTGAACTTTAAACTTGACTGCATCATTAAGTTATTAACCATGACCATGCACCACTTTCTTGCCACTAAAAATGTCCTCATGTTCACTTGATTGGATGAGAGACCTTTATCGACCGGGGGCGAATTTAGGGGGCGGAAGGAGGTTCATCCGAATCTATCATGCAAAATTTGTTTTGTACCTCATATTATATTTTAAATCCCGCTGATACAGCCCAAAAGCATAGCTCAATGGTCAAAGGGGTTCAAAACCTTTGTGAGGTCACTAGTTCAATTCCCACTGGCCATAGTCTCTTCTAAATTTTTTAACTTTTTTCTTTTTTGAACCCCCTTAGCGAAAATCCTGCTTCTGCCACTGTTATTGACCTTTATCTTAGAATATGGAACTTGTATATTACTTGCTCTATCAAGGCTAGATTTATGATAGTCTTCTTCAACTTATGCAGGAATTGGAGAATGAGGGAGTAAGGGTGGCATTAAGGTCTCGTCATGATAAGCTCCTGCCAGGAACAAACATATATGTGGTTGATACATTAGGTTGTGACCTCTTTTTGCTTTATGATATTCTTTAAGCTAGTTGACTAAGAGATTTTCTTTTTAGATCTACTTGTTTTAGCCATCCGCATTTCCATTCAAAAAGTTAGTGACATTATTGTTTTTCTGTAGGTGAAGTAGTTGAATGGTCTCCATCATGCTTTTTCTCTGAATTCTTTAGTAGGATCTCTTACAAACTGGGAATAACTACATTAGAAATCAGAAACAGTTTTGCAGTTTGTTACTTGTTAATAAGCTTTTTTCAAGTTGTGGGTAAAAATGCGTCTAATATAACTATTGGGTGTGTTGTATTCACCGATGAATGATCTCGTCTCTCGCCACCTTCTTAAACTTCTATATGGCATGGATCCACATACTTCAACAAAGTACAAATAGCTGAAAGTTCCAATTTCCGTGTCTCACAAATTTTCCTTGTTTTTAGTTTACAGAGTAGAGCCAGCTTGCATATTAGGAGCAGTTCGAAAATCTAACCCCGAACAAAATAAAAAAGAGAGAAAATCTATCCCCTCATGCCACAATCCACATTATATCTATCCTTATATTATATGTTTTTCCACATAAGCTAGAAGGTGCAGTCTTAACTTCATAAAAAAGAGGATTAGCTACAGTGTTTAATTGATGAAATACTTTTTTTGCTTGTTAATGCAAAAATTTAAATGAAACAAAGTCACTGATTTTCTTATCATTCTGCTCTGTAGGTGAATTGAAAAAGTTCTACAGACTAACACCAATAGCCGTGATTGGAGGTTCATTTCTACCTGGTTCAGCTGGTCATAATATTTCAGAAGCCGCTGCAGCAGGCTGTGCTGTTTTGACTGGTCAATTTGGTTCCCTTCTTTTAAATAGAGCTTTTGATCTTTGGATTTCCTGGTTAATTTTGTCGTAGAATTCCAAGTTTGATTCTCATCTGGTGCATAATGTATATTTATATCGGTTCTTTGTTTTGGCCTAATTGTCAGGTCCTTATATTGGTCATTTCTCTTATATGGCAATACAGATGCAACGATTGAATCCTTTATCAGTATTACAGGTCTGGAAGCTTACTGTGAATTGTGATCTATAAAATTCAGTCGATTTATGTTCCTTTTTTCTTTTAGAAGTATAACTCAGTTGATTTGCAATAGAGTTCTACAGGACTGTATTCATGGTGTATTTTACATGCTTTGCATTGGAAGGGAAGGATGGCAGGAATATTTTAAGAAGGGGGTGGTTGAAATGGTTCAAGACCTATGTAGTCAAACTTCAAGGTCAACATTTGTAGGCTTCCTGTCAAACACTAAATTGGAGAAAGTGGCTTGACCAACCTGATAGGGAGAAAAGGAAGAGTCAACACAGTATATACCCATTAATGAGAAGTGGGAAAGAGCATGGTTGCAGAAATCCTATTTATACTTATAAAAAAAAATCCGTATCTATGAATATGGGAATGCAAGAATTCAATTATTTAATAATAGAAAATGAATTAAGAAATTTAAACTAGCAAGACTTCTTATAATTAACAACCTTTAAGTCAATAGCCTCCTTTGATTGACAAAAGCTTCAAGGATCTAGGTTTATTGTCTTTTGCTGAAATTCTGAATTTATTACATAGTACAGTACATTGAAGTGAAGTACTCCATATGAATTTTGTGAGATATGTAAATATATAGTGTAGCTTTTTATTTGCAACAGCAAAATATTTACTAAAAAGAGAATCCAACTGCAGATTTTAT